CAGTTAATGAAGTGTCTACTTTTTTTTCTCTCGTCTTGTGCGGTTTTTGTTCAATGAGGTTAACGACAAAACCTTGTTTTCTACGTTTATTCCAAAGCCTATCGAACTTCTTGTCATCATGGTTTTGAGAATGACGAGAGCAAAATATTTCTGTAGGGCCACCCAACTTTCGTCCTTTTACTATCATTTTTCGAAGTTTTTCGTATTCAATGTACAGATTTGGCTTGTCAACTAGATTCTCATCACGCTTCACAGTTTCTTTCCCTTGTTCGATCAAATTCGAATGATCGACAAGAAGGAATATTTCCCCAGTAAATCCTCCTATTTAAAAGCAAAAGAGATGATATTATAAATAAATACGATACAGTGAATGAAACCAAAATATAAGTTGTTTATTTACGTTTAAATTCCTTGATCAGCTTTTCAATTTTTATAGCTGGTCCACCTAATATTCCCCACCGTTCAAGAGTCTTTGCGGTCAGCTCAAGGAAGGATGAACCATCGACATTTTGTTTGTCGATGATGATTATATCTTCATATTTAATGTCTTTCGATTCCAAAAATTTACGAAATTCTTGGAAGCTCCATTTGTTTACTTCTTTCGTAGGACGGATACTTTTCGCAGTAACTGTATAACATATAGTTGAATATGCAAGCCTTTTAGTTCAAATTATTAATGTCTATACTTTTTTAATAAATTTGTAATAACTTAAATAACTTACGTATATTTTTAGACTTGCCTCCTAACAACATGTAAAGAGATGATATAATTAAATAAATACAACACAGAGAATGAATTCATGGAAAAAACGTCAAGTTATTTATTTACCTTGAATTTCCTTGACCAACTTTTTGATCTTTATAGCTGGTCCACCTAGTATTCCCCACCTCTCAAGTGTTGCTGCGGTCAGCCCAAGGAAGGATGAACCATCGACATTTTGTTTGTCGATGATATTAATATCTTCATATTTAATATCCCTCGATTCCAAAAATTTACGAAGTTCTTGGAAGTTCCATCCTTTTACTTCATTGATCGTAGGACAAATACTTTTAGCAGTAACTTTATAATAGTGACCTGTATATGCATAAATATTTTTAGTTCAAATTCTCGAGTCAATCTGTATTACTTTTTTTTATTTGTAATAAATTTGTATAGCTTACGTTTACATTTATTTTTAGACATGATTTCGATTTTTAAGAAAAAATAAATTGTTTTATCAACAAACGATTATTTTTTAAGGTCAAGAAATTGTTCTGAATTTATGCGTTTTTTTATAATGATTAAATATAAATATTTTTATTATGTAAAAAAATATCCTAAACAACAATGACTGTTGTATACTTTTCGCCGAATTCCATTGGTTTCTTCGGTGTTTGTCCTACGTTAAAGCTATTCTATATTAATTTAGCAATCGTCAATATCTTCGAGAAGATTCTCTGAAAGAAGTATCTTACTAACTCATCGACGCACATCATAATTTTCATTTCCTTTTTATATGTAGTTGTCCATCCATATCCATTCATAATAATCTAAAACAAAAGCAATTTGTTGACAAACCAAATCGATTGGTTCCATATTGATTCTGGTGGAATTTGCAACAATAATAATTGCAGAAAAACCTCTTTAAATGCTTCCCATTGTGAATTTATAAAAGAAGGTGAAGTGTACATTTAGAAAGGATGCTTTATAAAGAGTTCATTTAAATTTTACTATATTTTTATAAAAAATGTAGAAGTATGAAAGCGTGCATCATCAAGAATGAACGTGATTTTATCACGCGAAAGTTCATAATCATAAGATTTATTCGTTTCGATTACGAGTTATTTTGCAAAATATGACATATTTTCAAAACTGGAATAACCTTTGTTATTGATCCGAACTCCAAAGAAAATATTTAATAGAATAGATTCAATGATTTTATTGTTCCGAACTCCGTTTCCAAGAAAAGGTTTATTTAAAAATTTTTTTTTGAAGAAACTCCTTATAGAATATTCGTAAAGATATAACAATTGCACAAATTTTCGTGCTAGGATGATCTCTGCTTTAAGCAGACAATCAGAGTATAAAACAAACTCTAATTGGTGTTGTATGACAACATATGACGAATTTTAGGGATAATATTTGAACCACGCTTCAAAACACTTGCACATTTTGGTAATTTCTGATTATTAAGTAAATTGTTTTGAAACATTCTTTTGTTTACACTATTTGTAATGTGACTTCTTTTCTTGATATAATATAATAAATAAAAAATGACTATTAAATTGATTACATTATATATTATATTAATGAATTAATTCCAAATAAATTTTATAGCAATAAATAAGATAAATAAGAATAAATGTATTTGTAACGACTTGTTACATATAACAACCTGATAGCAGCCAATAATATTAGCATTTGGTATTTATATTACGAATAAAATAGGTTATAGTTTAATATAATTTACTTAATTTTTAAAAATAAAATGTATTTATTTTTGACAATGTTATATATTTTTAAATAAATTTTTCATAATAATATTAATATAAAATATGCTAAATAAAACTAAGTAATTATATTAGATTATTTTAAATAAACAAATTTCATAAATTTAATAAAAATTTAATTAATAAATTAATAAAAATTATATAAAGTAAATAAAATAATACCAATTAATTTTATTAATATTATTTATATAAAAATAATAAAACTATATTAAATTTATTTAATAATAAGACTACTTATATAAATAATTAGTTTATTAAAAAATTTATTGATAAATATATTTTATATATTTTATCACTTTTAAAAGATGATATTAAAAATCATTTTATATTAATAATAAAAATAAAATTATTTAAAAAGTACAATTATATTAAATAAAGATCAAAATAATTTTATTTATATGTTTTATCTATTTTGCTATATTATTAGTTTTATTTATTTTTTAAAAATATTATTTCATTTTAATTTTTGTATTTTTTATAATTTATTTAATATTTTTAATTTTTTAATATATTATTTATTTATTAAATTATAATTTTATCATAAGAAATATTTTTATTTAATTAGTTTATAATTTAGCAAGTAGTTAATTATAATAAAATAATCTTATTTAAAATAATTTTGCTTAAATTATAAATTAACTTTTAGTAAATTTTAAATATATATTAAGATTATAAATTTTAAAAGAATATAGAATTCTAAAAAATAAAAATTATTAATTAATATTTTATTGGTAAAGCTTTTATAATTTCTAATAAATAATTTTTAATATTAAACCATTAAAAAAGAAATTAAAATAATTAAATTATTATTAAATTAAAAAAGAATTAAAATTATTTATATATAATATTATATAATTATTTAATTATTAAAAAATAATTTAAAAATTATTTAAAATTTTAAATAAAATATTAAAAATATTATTAGTTTAAAAATTATTATAAATTATATTATTAAATAATAAAATCAATTATAAATAAAAATCATAAATAAAAAAATTTTTTTTTAAAATTATAAAAGTAAAAAATATATAATATTTAATAAAATAAAAGAATTATATTTATAATATCAATAAGAATTAACTTTAAAAAAATTATAAAATTAGTTAAAAAATATAATACTTAGTTCAATTAATAATTTAATTTAAATATGAAAAAATAATTATTATTAATAATAAATTATTAAATTATTAATAATTTTTATTACAATTTGATTTAATAGATTTAATTAAAAAATAAAATATATATAATTAAAAATTTTACTATTATATAAAGTTTTTATAAATTTAATATTTAGTAATTTTTTATTTTTAATAGTAAATATATAAACAAATATTAAAAAAATATATAAATAAATGGGGGGACCAAGGGAGTTCCCACTAAGGAGTGGTAGCCTCCCCAGTGCCTTTTTGCTATATTTCTTTGTATTCTTTTTCTATTTCTCGCATCTCTAGCTCATTAAAATTACTAATTATATTTCTTGCCTAGCTGGAGACTCCGCAATCTCAGAAATACTATTTTGTAATCTTACTTAGCTAAACTCTTTAGAATTGTATAAATACTAATTTGTTATTTTATTTAGCACGAATTGTTTGATTGCAAATAAGCTTATTGTATGCGGAATGAAGTGAAGCGGTAAGCAAATTGTGAATACAATAAGTGGACAGATGATATGCAAATCATAAAGCAAATATGAATGCCAATTCTGCGAAGCAAAGTAGAGCATGTACACAAGATATGTTCACAGGTTGTGAAGCATCGAAGATGCGAAGCATATGTATACAAGATATGTTCATGGGTTGCGGAGCATCGAAGATGCGGAGTATATATACACAAGATATGTTCACGGGTTGCAGAGCATCGAAGATGCAGAGCATATGTACACAAGATATGTTCACAGATATGTTTACGGGTTGCGGAGCATTAAAAATGCGGAGCATATGTACACAAGATATGTTCACAGATATATTCACGGGTTGCAGAGCATCGAAGATGTAGAGCATATGTATACAAGATATGTTCACAGGTTGTAGAGTATTGAAGATGCGAAGCATATGTACACAAGATATATTTACGGGTTGCGGAGCATCGAAGATGTGGAGCATATGTACACAAGATATGTTCACAGATATGTTCACAGGTTGTGGAGCATCGAAGATGCGGAGCATATGTACACAAGATATATTCACAGATATATTTACAGGTTGTGGAGCATCGAAGATGCGGAGCATATGTACACAAGATATGTTCACAGATATGTTTACAGGTTGCGGAGTATCGAAGATGTGGAGCATATGTACACAAGATATCCACGTCCAAAGTAGCCAGAGCGGTCAAGCAGTTTTCTTATTACAGATTAGCCAAATAGACCCCTTTTTCTCATTAATTCGAAAAAATGATAAAGTTTAGTCATCCTGCAGTCTTTTAGACAAAAGGCGAATATCAAAAAAAACATATTTTTAAAGATTTCTATTGCCTAGAAGCTGTAATATAGAATTTTGTCTCAGCTTTTTTTATTATTGGACCACCAGGCCTATATAACCAGTCTCCGACATATTTTTGGATTATCCGGGATGCTTGATCACGTTTTTTTATCCTGAAGTTTGTTTTTATGATAATTAGCTTTACTGTAATACTTTCCAGCATGTTTCGTACACATTCCATAAGAAGAAGCTGTTAGTATACCACATACACCACAAGGAATACGAGTTCGTCTTTTCCAATGAATATAGCATCCTTCTTGCTGATAACATTTATTTCCACATATACGACCATCAATATAGGGGTATAGACAAGAATAAAATGCCA